TAGTCTGTTATTGTCATTATAATATCATTATATGTCACATCATTCATAATAGCACTTGCAATAGGTAAAATAAAACCATGTGTACAATTTTAGCTACTGAGAAACAATTCACAAGTCATGAAGATAGCAAACATAAGCGTGTTTACACTGAAAAACAATAGAAAAGTAGTGCATTGGAGAGGAAAGATGTATGTGTGAACGGCCCCCAAGTCTTTCACCTGATCCAGGTGGCAGAAGGACTCTTTGAGCTGCTGCAGAAGCACACAGTCCAGTTTATTCCCCAGCTGACAATCTCTATAGGGAAACCCAGCTCTCTGCATGAGCCAGAAGAAGCAGCGCGTCACGTCTGAGCCCCCGTACGCAAGACACAACCTGCACAGAAACACATGCATCCTTAAACAGTGTTGGCTATATAGGCATAATGTACATCCCGCTGCATGTGGATACTGATGCAATGAGTACATTTTGTCGGTGTGATTATAATCTGAGGAATAATCACAGTTAACATGATTATTAAACATTTCACTACAACACTAGTTTATTAGTTTAGTTTAGTTTATTAGTGTTGATTATTGTTGCTCAGTAAACAAATAATACTGCACATTCATTCATTTTCTTTATCGGCTTAGTCCCTTTATTAATCTGAGGTCGCCTCAGCGGAATGAACCGCCAACTTATCCAGCATATGTTTTACGCAGCGGATGCCCTTCCAACCGCAACCCATCACTGGGAAACACCCATACACTTCCATTCCATTAGCCTACCCAATTCACCTATACCACATGTCTTTGGACAGTGGGGGAAACCGGAGCACATAATAACAATAATAGTAATAATAATAATAATAATAATATAAACAAACAAATGGTTAGGTTTCCAGTGGAATTAAAAGAAAGCGAAAAAGGTTTTGACTTAAAAAATAAGTAACACTGAAAATAAAAATTAGTCTTCATCTATTTGGTATTAAATATAAGCTACTGTACATAAAGAAAACAATTACTGCTGGACATCATCTAAAAGGCTGCTTTAATCAACTATATTACAAGATTGTTCTGTATTTTCAGTTTGTGCATTTTTTGTAGAACTTTTTATATATATTTATTTAAATTTATTTATATTTATTTGATGATCCCTCGGTTCCAGCTCGCATCTCAGCCTGCCTGTTGGATATTTCACACTGGATAAAAGATCATCATCTTCAGCTGAACCTCGCAAAAACGGAAATGCTTGTAGTTTCTGCCAACCCGACTCTACACCATAACTTTTCAATCCAGATGGACGGGGCAACCATTACTGCATCCAAAACGCTGAAAAGCCTTGGAGTAACGATTGATGACCAACTAAACTTCTCTGACCACATCTCTAGAACTGCTCGATCGTGCAGATTCACACTCTATAACATCAGAAAGATCCGACCCTTCCTATCTGAACATGCAGCTCAACTCCTTGTTCAAGCTCTTGTTCTCTCCAAACTGGATTACAGTAACTCTCTACTAGCCGGGCTTCCAGCTAACTCTATCAAACCTCTTCAACTGCTCCAGAATGCAGCAGCACGAGTGGTCTTTAATGAACCTAAAAGAGCACATGTCACTCCGCTGCTCATCCGTTTGCACTGGCTGCCGGTTGCTGCTCGCATCAAATTCAAAGCTCTGATGTTTGCCTACAAAGCGACTTCTGGCCTTGCTCCTTCTTATCTGCTCTCGCTTCTGCAGATGTATGTGTCCTCCAGAAACTTGCGTTCTGTGAATGAACGTCGCCTCGTGGTTCCATCCCAAAGAGGAAAAAAATCACTTTCGCGAACGCTCACGCTCAATCTGCCCAGTTGGTGGAATGAACTCCCTAACTGCATCAGAACAGCAGAGTCACTCGCTACTTTCAAGAAACCACTAAACACTCAACTATTTAGTCTCCACTACACTTCCTAATCTGTAATTTCTCTGAATATCACACTAACTGTACAAAAAAAAAATAAATAAAAATACTAATACTACTAATACTTCCCTTCTTAGACTTTACAGACCTGAAACTCGCTTATAGCACTTATTCATTGTTGCTCTTGGTTGTGTAAATTGCTTCCTTGTCCTCATTTGTAAGTCGCTTTGGATAAAAGCGTCTGCTAAATGACTAAATGTAAATGTAAACAATTCCTCTATTTGTCTTTGGGAAAGCACACAACCTACAGCAGGGATCACCAAACTTGTTCCTGGAGGGCCGGTGTCCTGCAGATTTTATCTCCAACCCTAATCAAACACACCTGAACAAGCTAATCAAGCTCTTATTAGGTATACTTGAAACACCAATGCAGGTGTGTTGAGGCAAGTTGGAGCCCTGCAGGGCACCGGACCTCCAGGAACGAGATTGGTGACCCCTGCCCTACAGCAAACACTGCACAGAACATATAACATATGGCACACACTTGTTAACAGAACTTAAACACATTGCCACCATTGACGGTCATAATAAACGAACTCAGATTGTAGAGCATGACCAATCAGGATCAAGCATTTCTGAGAGCCATGTAATGGAGAACTATAGTGCAGAGATTCCCAAACTGAGAACATCCAACATGAGAAAAGAGTGAGAATGATGGGGCGATTAAGTTTGGGGCAAATGCCTTTAGCAGAGATCGTAATTTCTAATTTAACATAACCGTTTTCGTTTGTTTTATTGCTAAGCTACAAAAGACAAAACAAGTGCAGCTTGACTAGTATAACTCAATTCTGTTATAATAAATGGATTTGTTTTTGTTTTAACTGTTTATTATAAAATGAAAACACGTATGCTGCATTAGTTAATATACAGTAAAGCAATGTTTTCTAATTATTTTATGATGTTAATTAAATTACGATATGACCCATGGCAACTTTGATGTAATAGAGTTTGGTATATTTACCTTCCCACAGCCATATCACCCTGCAGCCCAAGACCGGTTACTCACTGAAGCTAAGCAGGGCTGAGCCTGGTCAGTACCATGGGAGACAACTAGGGAACACTAGGTTGCTGTTGGAAGTGATGTTAGTGAGGCCAGCAGGGGGCGCTCAACCTGTGGTCTGTGTGAGTCCTAATGCCCCAGTAAAAGTGAAGGGGACACTATACTGTCAGTGGGGGCCGTCTTTCAGATGAGATGTTAAACCGAGGTCCTGACTCTCTGTGCTCATTAAAAATCCCATGGCACTTCTTGTGAAAGAGCAGGGGTGTAACCCCGGTGTCCTGGCCAAAGTCCCTCTATCGGCCCATACGATCATGGCCTCCCAATCATCCCCTTCCACTGAATTGGCTCCATCACTGTCTCTCCACTCCACCAATAGCTGGTGTGTGGTGAAGCACTGGCGCCGTTGTCCTGTGGCAGCCGTCGCATCATCCAGGTGAATGCTGCACACTGGTGGTGGTGTGGAGAGACCCCCCTCATGATTGTGAAGCGCTTTGGGTGTACGGCCATACACAATAAATGCGCTATATAAATACACAATACATTACATTTTATTTGCCCACCTCCCTCAAGCAAGTTTGACCCTTTATAAGCAAAACTTTGAGCAACCCTGCTTTTCTTTTACCTGGAGCTGCGGTGGGAGACGCCGTCCTCCACACAGCACACACTGGTCTTCTGATCGCCCACGTCCACAACACACGCACTGCTCAGACCGCTGCCGAAGGTGGCACACACTGACTCCTGGTGCACCACAACAGCTGCACACACACAGAAGACATCAGCAGGCACACTTCATAATCTGCAACATTACACACTACATGAAATACAGGGGTAATATAGAGTGTTTTCATGATGCATCGTCAGTCGGCTATACTAGAGATAGAGAATGTAAACAATGCCACTGAACTGAACTCTCATATTTATATTGCAGCAGAAAATGATCAATAACTGACAGGTTTTGGCCTTTCCTAATTGAACAGACCAGGGAAAAAAAACATTTAAAGTACTTTAAACTGGCAAAAGTTATAATAAATCAAGAAAAAGACAAATTAAGAACAAAAGAGGATCTATTTTAATGATATAAGCTCATAGATGGTCTCACTTTTGACACAACTAATCCATTGGCGCCTCCCAAACACGCTATATATATATATATATATATATATATATATATATATATATATATATATATATATATATATATATATATATATATATATATATATATATACACACAGTATATATAAAGACACAGACGGATGTCAGACTGTTAACTCACTTTTATCATCATTTGCATGAAAGTGCAATTATTTACAGAGTAATAACAAGTATTTTAATATAACGTTTTTAAAACTAGGATGATGGTTCAATATGAATAGAACAGATCCAAGAACTGTCCATCCCAGTCAAAACAGTGGAAGTTTAGCGGGTCTCATGCTGTCATTAGCCAAAATATCTTGACAAACCACACATAAAGGTCGTGGTTCATCAGCTGGTCCTGTCCACGTGAATCCTAAACTCAAATACTGATCATCATATCGTCGTCTTTTGGGTTTAAACCCTGAACTTGAAGGCTTTGAATCGGGGGGGTCTCAGAAACCGATCCATTGTATTAGCAGACATACCTGTATTGGTGGGCTTGCCAAACAGAAGCGAAATCACAGCTATGGCCTTCTGGGTAAAAAAGATTTTCTTATTTTTGACGTATTATTTTTTTTAGCTTTGTTTAATTAAAACGTTTAAATACAATAAAAAAATACATATAATAATTAAACTTAATAATAATTTTTATTATATAATATTTTTCCCCGCGCCTCCCCTGACATGCTCTGGCGCCCCCCAGGGGAGGCGCGCCTCACACTTTGAAGACCCCTGGTCTAAAGCGTATGGTGCAGTTGCACTTAGAACTCACTTCTGCTATTTTAATGAGAAAAACTAAAAGGGTCTAAAGGGTCATTAAATTCTCTTAATGAGTTATAGGTGCGTTTTGGGCATAACATGCATTAAACCAATCTGAGTTTTAACTCCCATCGCCTTTAAGAGAAGAATGTGCCATAGCGGGTTCGCTATTTACATGGCAGACCTTATTAGCAGAAAAAATAAATGCTAGACTGATCGATTGGAAACGGATCTGCTGCTGCAGGAATAACAACTTTTAGTTTTAGTGAGTTATTAGGAATGAACTAATAAATTGGCATCACCAAGATTAATAAATGCCTTTGTAGTTTTGATTGTGAGTTGAGTTTTAGTGAACTAATGTTAACAAATGCAGCATAATTGCACAGTGTTAAAGGACAATCGGCCTAAACATAATCAGAGCAATTTCTCTCAGCATCTCGTACATGTCACAGCCCAGAATACACGTGAAAACGTTTGTGTTTGAAAATAATTCGTTCTGGTTTGACTGCGGTGGAAATGCAAACTAAACTAAATTAAAAAGGAAGATTTGTCAGTGGAAAAGCAGATTTTGTGGCATACCTGAGAAACCCATTTTAACCAGCAGCATATTGACGATCTCCTTCACATGCTGACGGTTATATATGTCAGGAATGAGGAGGATGCATCTGTAATACTGCGAACAAAATGAAAAACTCGTCAAAAATAAACATCATCTCTCGTTTAGGAGAAACCTCAATGGGTGCACTGCAAACACTTCTCTTACTCAGAGCTTTCGTCTTGCTTCCAGTCCAAATATCTAATAACTCTTAAATCAATACTTATTATTACTAAGAATAAACTCATTCTTATTTGGGAACACTTGTCAGAATACATTATAATTTGAACGGCTTGTGTTAGTCTGTTTTTCATTATCACAAGGTTTCTATAATCCTGGACCAGGCTGTATCCTGAGCAGATGCTGTGGCGGTCATGGAGGAGTGGAGATCACGAGACTGATTCCTGAAAGATCCCAATGACAGACGAGTCCCGTGGGCCAGCCTGATCACCCGCCGGTGACCTGCAGCTTCTCCACGATGGACGTCAAGCATTCTCCAGCATCCTGCGCCTAGACTGCAGCTCTGTAGAGGAAGTTTGGCCAGAGGAGAAATGGTCGTTTCCAACTGAGCCTGATTTCTCTCAAGGCTTTTTCCTTCACTTTCATCAATTGGTGAAGTTTTTCTTTTCTCTTCACTTTTGCCACTGGCTTGCTTGGTTAGAGACTTGTGGAGCTGCGTACGGATCGATTTGCTCTTCAGCGTTTGGACTTTCAGCAGTGAAAATTAAACCACACTGAACTGAAAACTGGACCGACAGTTTCAGTCAACTAGAACTTCTGTGTTCAGCTGCTGCGGCACAATCTACAGTGTAAAATTGCCAGAGAAATAAAGATGAATTGAATATTGTTTTGTTTTTCGATAAAACAAGCAAAATAATCTGCCAATGGAGTAAGCAAAATAAAATCTTGCTTCAAACCAAAGCCAGGATTATCTTGCTCACCCCACTGGCAGATCTCACTCACATCTTACTCATTATTCCTGAGTAAAGAAAACAATACTTTGTACTTGTCTAGAAAATGCTTCTTGATTTAAGAGTTTTTGGATATCTGGACTACAAACAAGACAAAAGCTCTGAGTAAGAAATGCACTGGATCTCCAGGCGTACCTTGAGATCCTTCAGAGGGATCTGTAGGAGTTTCTGAAGAGCGTGAGTCCAGATGTGCTCCAGGTCCATCATGACAGCACTGAGCGAGCCGCCGGAGCCGCTGTGGAGGTTCAGACGACCCCTGCACACGGGCCAGTGCACGCTGTAGCAGTCTGTAGGGTTCACATACAACGCCTTACCACCACACACACACACACACACACACACACACACACACACACACACACACACACACACAAACACAAACACAAACACAAACACACACACACACACGCGCACACACACACGCAAACGCAAACACGTATACACACAGACGTGCACATACATACACAAACACATGCATGAGCACAGACACACGCACACACACAGACACACACACACATATTATAGTTTAGAGTTGTACTGCCAAATGAAGAGCATAAACTAAAAATAAACAGCCTGTTGTCATTGTGTGGACAACAAATAGCAAATTATCGTTATATTTAAAGTAGAACTGGACAAAGATTAATCGGATTCAAAATAAAAGTTTACTATATGTGTGTTTTCTGTGTTTATTTATTTTCTATATATATATATATATATATATTTATATATATATATATATATATATATATATATATATATATATATATATATATATATATATATATATATATATCACATATATATGTATAATACACATAATATATTAATTTAAACATCTATGAAATGAAATAGTTTTGTTTAGTTTTAGGGTCGGGCAAAATCTGCAGACATTTTGCTATTTCCGTGAAGTATTTTGTAAAAAATATGCAGATTAATGCGCAATGATTTTGGGAGTATCATAACTAAAAACTTAATATATGAAATAAAAAAATAACACCTTTTCCACTTTTGTTGAATGTCTACAATGCAAATCCAATTAGATCCACTTATTTTGGTAAACAAAGCAGGTCTCTCATATACAATATTTACTAAAAGACAGAACATTTTACTTTACAAACTATATTGTAACTAAATCATATGAACATCTTCATATTAGCCAGTAATATTACTGAAATTAATTTAAAAACTAAATAAATATAAATTTACACAAGCAAAATAAACAGACTCAATAATAAAATCTGTGGAAATCCGCATGTGCAGATTCCATGTGGGCCGACTTATATTGTCTTCATGGCTTTCTGTATGCCACAGAATAATACACATGCAATATTAGATCTCAATAGATTAGGAAAATACTCCATCTAACAAAAACATCTGCGACAATGGGACAGATGCATCTCTATTATTGTCATGAGCAGTGTTTTCTCGACTTACCTCTTCTCCGACCACATATTCAGGATGGTGACTTGTGTTTGTCCAGCTGACTTTAGAGTTTGGGTCTAGAACAGCAGGTCGTATCTGTCTGTTGTATAACCTTGCCTGTAAACACACACACACACACACACAAACACACACACACACACTGCATGAAGAGCAGCATTTGATTGACTGTGATCTGCAGAAAAATTGTTTGTACCTGTTCTGCGGACACTGGCGTTCTCCTCACACCGTTGGACATTTTCTTGGACCAGATCACCTGATCAACCATTTTCAGCCCGTTCTGCCTCTGCTCATTACTGTCTGCAGACTGCACAAAACACACACACTCAATAGTATTAAAAGCTCAAAAAAAAAAAAAAAAAAAAAAAAAAAATATATATATATATATATATATATATATATATATATATATATATATATATATATATATATATATATATATATATATATTGTGCAGCTCTACTTTAATGTAAACCAATTATGGGAGACCAACAAAACAAAATTAGCAACAATTAAAATAGCACAAACGTCCACTTTATTAGCAGACAGTGGCAAAACACTCACATTCAGGCCTTCTCGGAGCAGACACTTGTCTTCATAGCGGCTCTGGCCGGGGTGTTTGTGTCTGCGGGCGATCACATGAGGGACGCTTATGGGTAATGTGTCCGTCGCTCGACCCAGACGCAGCGTTCTTGATCCAGGATGAATCACAACGATGAAGTTGGCTTGAATTTGCTGAAATCCACAACGACAATGTGTGTGAGATAGGGAAATTACGATCAAATATTCAAAATAACATGGCAACCAATATAGAGACTTCTAAATGAACGAATGTGCAAATATAAAACCAACTTTACCTCTATGAGAAATACAAATAGTTTACACAGGATTACTGCAGTTAGCTAAATCTATACTATAACTTTAAACAATTTTGTTACTAGTAAATAAACACGGTCTACAAACACAAACATACAAATTGATTAAAAAACAACCACAATATTATTATATAAGTAAACTTAATACGAAAACACAACTCTAATGGTTGGAGGGGCGTGGCTAAGCATATTTCGTCCAAGCTGTCGAGAGGTCATATTTTGATAACCAAGACAAACATTTTTTTTCAGTGGATTAACTTGCACGAATGATTTGTCCACTGTAAGACTAATATTGCGTGCTAATAAGTTAAACAATTAATAATATTAAAGTAACAGATTCATACTAAAATACACACGAAATCAAAACTAATTTATTTTGTTAGCACACATAGCTAGTTTTGTGGTGAACAATTCATCTGTGCATGTTATTAAAAGAAAAAACAAAATATTACTATAACTAAATTTAATATAAAAAACACGACTCTGCTAGCAGCAAACTAACGGCTAGAGGGGCGTGGGTAAGCAAATTTCGTCGTCAAACTGACGTCATCAGACAAGCATCTGCCATTCCAAAGCAGAAACTAATGGTTATACTTTGATTAAAGATTACTAAAACAAACATTTGTCTCAATGGATTACTTTTATTCGGATTAATTGTTCACATAAAGACTAATCACGTGTGCTATTAAAATAAGCATAGTAAATTTTGATTTGATACAGACTTTATTACCATTAAATTAACACTGATTCAAATGTTAAACTGATGCATCTGTTCACTGAATTCTGTAGATATAATTAAGCTTACTTTGTGTAACACTTTTATCTTAAATGCTACAGAGAAACACGTGTGTGTTGATTTATCCTGGCTGTATTTCTGACCTCCTGCACGGGCTCCGGTACCGCGGCGGGCATGATGGGTCTCTTCACGCCGCGCTGCTGCTCTTTTTCCCGGTCTTTCTCTCTGTCCCGGCCGTTCTCCGCATCTCGATCTGTTTGTGTCATGGTTATGATGATAAGAAACTAATTAAATCAACTGAACATTCATCAACACTCTGCTGGTGAATCAGAAACTGACTTCTTCTACTTGTTTACGTCGGTTGAGTGGTTGCTCGCTTTCCCGCCATCTGCTGGCCTGGAGACAGGGTTGTCAGGTCTTCGAAACATGGCCGTCACAGGACAAAACCTATTTTTTACAGTCAAAACGAGCCAAAAATTTTTTTTTTAAAACAAACAAACAAAAAAAAAAACGGTCAAAACGAGCCCCAAACTATTTCAATATTATAATAAATACTCAAAACAATATTGGTACAGATACAGATGGGATACAGCTGCGGATAATTACATTAATAAAGTGTAATTATTGTGATCCTGTGTACATCAGAGGGTTTGGTTTAGAGTTGAGTGGGAGATAATAAAATATAATATAATGAGTAGTTTAATAAGTAAAATGACAAATACTACAATTACTGTTTTTACATTACTGTGATGGTTGGGTTTAGGGTTGGGATAGCTGTTAATAAAACGCAATTAATAAGTAATTTAATAAATAATTCTTGTTAACTTCCGGCTTCAGCTGTATCCTGTAGAAACAACCCAATATATACACCATCAAAGATTCATAAAGTACACATTTTCCATCACTTTAGTAAACATTATACACTTTTATTTAAAAAAATAATGACATATATAATGATTTGGTATCATAACAATCTTAGAGTATAGTTTAATCAAAGATGAAGATTCTGTCATCATTCACTCATCCTTTACTTGTTTAAACCAAGTTTCTTTCTTCTGTTAAACAAGATATTTTGATAATATATTTTAACCATTGACCATCTGCTTTTCCTTCTGTGGAAGTCAATGGTTACAGGCTTTCAACTTTCTTCAGTAAATCTTATTTTGTGTTCAACGGAAGAAAGAAACTCCGATTAGAATTTTAAGGCGAGTATTAAGAATATATTTTTATTTTCTACCCCTTTAAGACTTTTCTTCTGTATATTAATTGCAGTTCCTGCCAATAATAATGCACATTCTCCTCACAAAATGCTCTCTCTGTTTCACCATCCTTGCACATACATTCATTTTCCTTCGGCTCAGGCCTTTATTCATTAGGGGTCGCAACTACGTAATGAACCGGCAACTATTCCAGCATATGTTTTACACAGCGGATGCCCTTCTAACTGCAACCCTGCAATAGGAAACTGCAGTGTGGTGGATAGCGCTGTCACCTCGCAGCAAGGTCGCTGGTTCAAATCCCGGCTGGGTCAGTTTCTGTGTGGAGTTTGCATGTTCTCCTGTAATGGCGTGGGTTTCCTCCGGGTGCTCCGGTTTCCCCCACAGTCCAAACACGTGCGCTATAGGGGAACTGACCAACTAAATTATGTAGTGTATAAGTGTGTATTGGTGTTTCCCAGTGATGGGTTGCAGCTGGAAGGACATCCGGTGCATAAAACATACTGGATAAGTTGGCGGTTCATTCCGCTGTGGCGACCCCAGACTAACAAAGGGACTAAGCCAAAAAGAAAATGAATGAACGAGCGAATGAAGTTGTGGAAAACAGCTCTGCTCAACAGGAAAACTGCAGACCTGGCAACCCTGAGGAGAAACGCTTTCTCACAGAAAATTCAGTGGTGTTAGCGCCACCCGCTGGACATGTCCTGTTAGTGAAACACATGACACTGAAAATAAAAAGTTAAGCCCGAATACCTTCACTCGACAGTCTTGATGGATGAGAAATGCTTTAGTAGTAATTTATAACAAATACTGTAGTACATTTCAAGTTGCTATGGTAACACGACAGCTCAAATAAATGTAGTTTTCTACAAGTATACGGTAAATTATACAACAATACACAGTTTCTACAAGGCCAAAGAGCTCTACAGACATTAACTAGACGTTATATTGAAATGTTCAGTATATAATGACCAAAACAACAACGATACAAGTCAAAATTGTGGACAGAATTCAACATAACTTACTTTATTGATGCCAATTGCACATAGAATATCCATCACAACAGCTCCTTTTAATATAAGACATTACTGAATAAAAACCAAGAAGAGTTATGAAACAAGTGTGTGAGTATGTAAGCATATGTGTATGTATGTATGTGTATGTATGTGAGTGTGTGTGAGTATGTATGTGTATGTATGTATGTATGTGTGTGTGTGTGTGTGTGTGGCTGCCATGATCAGTGACTCTGGCCCCTCGGTGCAGGAATTCCCAGAGTAACGTCATGAGTGTGCGGTAAAGCAGCAGCAGCAGCCGATGGAGAGGACGGTGGAGATCTGTAGAGCGTCTGCATTAATGTTCATCACAGACTCTCAGCAGCGTCTCTCTGTCCTCAGCGCCTGCATCAGCGTGCAGGCGTTTACCTGCAACACACAGACAGTGATGTTTATCTATTTGCATTATTATAATATTTCCTCTCCTGTTTCTCTTACGTTTATATTCTTTAGCTGTCAATGTGATACTTTGCGTCTATGGAAGAAAGAGTTGATGAAGATGGAGAATGTGTAACATCATATTTGCAAAAGACGGTTTATGTGAATGTAACCCCACCGGTCCGAGCAGGTCATGAGCCGGCGAGGAGGCTAAAGATTGAAGAACAACGTCTGTCGCTGGATCAGAGGAGTGAGGTTTACTCGATCACCAGCTGGCTTACATTACATAGGGTAAATATTGATGACCGAAACATCATTTACTCATTTAACTCATACTCCTTTTATTACTTATAATGGCCAGGACATTGACATTAATATTAAATGCTACTTTTGTGCAAAAAAAAGGGGCGAAAATCTTAGATTATTCCATCTCCACCTGCTGGTGAAAGCTAGAGCAGCTGGCCATCTTCAATCTGTTGCTTCTCCTGCAGTTCCCGGATGTAATGTTGAATTTTAACAGTCAAATTTGATCCACTGAATTCATGGAAGTGAATATTTGAACTGAAATAAAATGAACTGAAAATTTTGAATATTATACATGGTAATTTTAAAGGGTATTGAATATTTTGTAGGTGAAATCTGGAAATTGAATATGAATTATTGAATTTATAAGCATGAAAACGGGTTTGACATATTTTTCGTTGAAATATTCACAGCTTAAATAAACAGATAAGGTAAATTGCAGGACCTAAAAATACAAAACCCTGGAATTCAAGTCATTAAAATGCAATCACTTGTTAATTCGGTGTATTATTTTTTTCAGTTTGTGTTATTCAACTATCTATTCAATACTTTTGGCATTGCTTTTGCTCCATATGGAGCTCTACATGATTTGTTTGCATCTCACTGACCTTCCTCATCCTCCTCCGCCCATGGGTGGAGGTGTGGGACCTGCACCGTGGTTTATTCTACCCATCCGTCGGCGGCCTGGGAACCCAGGAGGACTGAAGAAACAGAACAGTGTTGAACCCATGTGCACTGTTCAGATTGACTCCCCTTTGGCTATGTTGGGGCTGTTTTTGACCCACTGACTTCCATTATAATCACATTTATACTGTTAGGAAGAGGGACGATGTGTAATTTTTCCTGTTGATCATCAGTTGGCAGCATCAACCCTTTAGATCGCGACCCAAAAGTGGGTCATGGGAACATTTTCTGTGGGTCGCAGAGTGTGTGGTCAAAAAAACAAAACAAAAGTTTAATCTATTCTGCTTAAACTGGACTTTTATTTTGAAATGCATGCGCAACAAGCTACCGTTTGACATGTGAAATTTCATTAAATTTTTGCAACAAATATGTCAAAGCGCAAGTGCAACCCCGAATATGTAAAGTATGGACGTACATATTTTGATGACAAAAAAAGACTTAAAGTCTCAGTGTGTCATATGTAGTGAGGTGCTCTCACAAGCATGAAACCTTCTAAATTAAATCGACATTTAGAAACCAGACAACATGTTTTATTAACAGCTCAGTTTAGTTCATGGTAACAGAACCTTTCCTTCCCCTAACCACTGTTAACAGTATTTGTCATTTTTCGTTTGTAATATTTTCATAATTTGATACATTTTGTTAAACGACAGCAATAAAATATTGTTTATTTGCAAGTCTTGATGATTTTCTTATGATTTACCTGTCTCTACTTGTGTATGTTAACAAATAAAAACAAATTAATTATAATTCCTAAAATTGTATAATAGTTCCTAAAAATTTGAGTCGCGACCTGATGACCTGATGAGAGTTTCTGTCTTTTATATGGAGTAAAACAGCAGATTATAGTGCGCGTGCAGAAATACACTGTGTTCTGAAAGCTGAGGGGATGAGTTTCTCAAACATATAATGGCAACACTTACTCTCTCACACACATATATACACACTCTATACTCCATATAACCATATAATTTTAAGCCAGAAACTATGCTTTCATGCACTGCAACTGACGATCAATACTGAAAATAACACACTGTCCCTCTTCCCAACAGGGAAAACCAGCAGCTATCAAGAATGCATGATTATATGGCTTTGAAATCAATAAATGGGGTTATAATGGAAGTCAATGGGGCAAAAACAGCCCATAACATAACCAAAGGGCAGTCGATCTGCCAAGAGTGTATTGCTAAATTTGAGAATTTCCCAAAATATGAGCCAAAATCAGATTTGTTAGCAAAAATCACCACATTTGCTGAAACAGAGAAAGTTGAGGCCAAATTAAGCCTCAAACTCAGCCCAGAGTGGATGAAAACCTAAATACAGGGAACATCAGCACGACTTCAGATGCTGGACGTACCCTCTGCCGTCACTGAAGCGAGACGATGCGCTGTTGTTTCCATCTTTAGACAGATCCGGCTGGACCAGAGTCTGGAAGCTGAGGAGGAATTACTGACAGTTAGTGCAGGTTCAATAAGCGCAGTATTTATTTGTAATGCATTACCATAGATATATACATTAGATGTCGCCTACCCTGTTGTTGTCTATTAGAAAAAAAATGTGTCAATAGAGCCGCCATTTTGGTACAGGGTAGCGCTCCCTTGAAATTAATGCAGGACCACGGTACAGTGGAGGACTGTGGCCATCCACAGCCAGAGATATACACATATACACATATATATCTGTGATCGGGAGTTTTCCTGGATGTTAATATGCAATTTATTTATTTACTGATTTTATTCAACAAAACTAGCATAAGCCGAGTGTTTAGTGTGAGTTGGAGCTGCTTTGCCGTATGGTGAATGCAGTAAGTGACTGTTATCATCAATAACGTTACCTGATTAGCACAAAAGTTCAGAACATACAAAAACAGAAAAAACTTAATATTACCTATGAAATGTTCAGCCTTTGTGCTTTGTTTTCTTTGTTTGCTCGTTACTACACCCGTAGACAGCGCTAAAGTCCCGCATCTTCACGTAATAACACTGTCTTGACTAGTGCGGTTGAATGACACTTGTCCTGGGAGCACTGTACCAATATGGCGGCGCTATTGACGCATGCTCAGGGTCCCTATGCCATATCTAGTGTATATATCTATGATACATTACAAGCTACATGCAGCAGGCACCATGTTAGAAACACTTCCATGTTTCTGTTTGTACTGATAGCTCCTTTATATTTTTATACCTTGTACTTTTTTCTACAGCCACATACTCTATATCCAAAGTCTCTCAATAGTTTCTTTTTTATGGTGGCTTAGTGGTTAGAATTGTGGCCTCACAGCAAGAAGGTCGCTGGTTTGAGGCTGGTAAGTTGAAAGAGATTTTGTGTTTTGTTTTGATGCTTCAAAATATGTTTTATCTTTGACCCAATAGGAAATGCTATAACTAAAAAACACCACATCGTTCACTTGTGGTGTTCACAGCGAAAAGCAGGATTGAGGTAAAGTTGCTCTTATATTCGTGCGTTAGTTCATCTCTGAACAACTTGTGATGCTCCCTATGTTGTTCACTGCTAATTTGAATATTCAGTCATAAAATCACATGTAAGCATGACTTCAAAACAATATTAGCATCATTTAATTGACTGTGAACAGTGTTGCACTTTGACAGTCACTGGCTGCTGATATGATTTCTCTATTTAGAGTTTGCAAACAATACTTTACTAAAATTATACTATTAAGGAGAAAGTCTAAATGTGTGAATATAAAACCACTTTAGCTCAATAAAAGTAGGGCAGACGTAAACTAGCTGCGGTAAACGGCCAGCAATAAACAAATTAAACCTCATTGTCGACTTTGTTTATGCATAAATAAACAAATAAGCTCACAACAGGCCGATGAACTCGACTGCACCCCAGAAGAAGTCGGTCAGGAAGGACAGACTCCAGGGCGAACGGCTCCTGCTGTCCAGAACCTGACCTGAACACACAACAACGGCATTTATATTCATATTAATAATAAATAGAAAGCCTACAAAATACTGAGCAGTGTGACAAATCAGAATATACTACACACTATAATGCAAACGGCAGGAAAAAAGAAATTAAAACACAAAACTTGCTGGATTAAGATTTATCGTTAATAATCAAAAAAACAAAACAAAAAAACAACGTTTGACATTATATTTGTGTGTGTGTATTATATTTACTAATATAGATAGACAGACAGACAGACAGACAGACAGACAGATAGATAGATAGATAGATAGATGCGTGTGTGTAAGTGATACACACACATAGAAACAAAACTATACAAAACAATTTTATCACATAGACGTTTACATTTATATATCATTTGTATCATATACACACATATTTTATAAGTAAATATAAATAAATATCTTCTCAAATACTATGGTGAGCGTATAGGTTTAAATAGATTTATTATTATTATTATTATTATTGAAAGACTGCATATTTGGTGCAATTTCCATTATTATAATCTTATTAAATGACGAATATATATCGTTAAATTTAAATAAAATATGCGAATATGAGACAAAAGTATTAAAAACACGACAGCCTCTTTTATCAACATAACTGTATTTACCATAGTAGAATTATTAATATACTTTCCCAATTTGTGTACAATATGAACAAAACCATGCATTTTGACATTATTATTATCTAAAACAAGTCAATTTAATAGCTCACACGAAAATAACACGTCATTACAGACATAAACATTACAGCCAGAGCAACACAGTCAAGCTAATTTACAGATTTAGCGACGTACAACAGTTTGCCACATAACAATATATAATACGAGAGATGGGGGCTTGCCTTTAATATATATATATGTATATTTAGATATATCATTTTTGATGAACAAGAGTTGTTTTAACACTCACCATTTGACACATAAACCATCGTCACTGCTGTTTAACCGGATCCTCTCTCCACTTCCGGGTCTGCGCAGTACGGTCAGTGTTCGTTTGTGACGTTTGATGTTTCGCTGGTTTTATTATAAATAATAACTCTCATAATGTGTTTATAATCTGTATATGCGACTGTTTTATAAGTGTTGTACAGACGAGCTCCTTCAATGAGTCCAGCGAGAGTGAAAAAAATCTTAGCCTTTCGCGCCATTTAACCAAACGCCACATAAACAAATACCGTAAATTAAAGTAAATAATATAGTGTTTATGAACCATACTATAGTAAAGTGCTTTAAATAGATAATAAAAATTAATCTAACGTGGTGATTATATAGTGTATAATATATTGTAGATAACACACAGCTATAGTAATCAAATAACCCTGTAGTTTTCTACAACTGTAGGGTATATTATACTACAATACTGTAGTAGAAACTAAGTATACTATAGTATTTATTACAGTTTATACTATAGTATTTATTACAGTTTAACAGTTCACTGTAGCTACTACAGTATGCTGCAGCATTTATCAACAGAGTTGTAAATCCTATAGGCTATACAGTATAATTATTTGGCTTTATATTTGACTTATTTGCCCTCAAGATGGAATATTTTCTAACAATTTACTCTCCCTCAAGTGCTTATAAGCCTTTATGATGTTAAACTGTTGAACACAAATGATGATATTTTGAATAATGTTAGAAACCTGTAACTATTGACATCCATAGGGGGGGAAAACATACTATGGCAGTCAATGGTTACCGGTTTCCAACATTCTTCAAAATATCTTCAACTGTGTTCACCAGAAGACACTCATAACGGCTTGTAAAAATTAAAAGGGAGAGTAAATGACTGTCCCTGCTGAAAAATCCAGCTTACACCAGCCTAGGCTGGTTGGCTGGTTTTAGCTGGTCGCCCAGGCTGGTTTTAGAGGGGTTTTATATAACTAATATATATTATATATAAATATATAAATAACCATAAAAAAACATGTTATCAGTTAACAATACCCTGAGAAAAAAAACACAAAAGCATTGCAGTTGATGTACAAAAGTAAATTAAAAGTAAAATGACAATTTTAGGAAAGCTACAAAATAAATAAATAAATAAATAAATAAATGTGTGTGTGTGCGTGCGTGTGTGTTTGTTTACATTTTTTACTATCCAACAAATATGGCTCCAAATATACTGTCACTAAATTACTATTTAAACACTACTATTATTTCTGGTAACATCAAGTTTATTTTAAATAAACAAATAAATAAATAAATAAATAAACAACATTTTACCAACTAACAATACCTGAAAAAACACAAACGCATTGCAGTTGATGTACAAAAGTGAATTAAAAGTAAAATGACAATTTTAGAAAAGCTACAAAATAATTAAATGAATAAATAAATAAATGAATGAATAAATAAGTAATAAATAAATATAGGGGAATTGGGTACGCTAAATTGTCTGTAGTGTCTGAGTGTGAATGGGAGTGTATGGGTGTTTCCCAGTGATGGGTTGCAGCTGGAAGGGCATCTGCTGCATATAACATATGCTGGATAAGTTGGTGGTTCAGTAAGTAGAAGTTGTAAGTACAAAAGTAAACTGTAAAGACCGTCATTATTTAGATGAACTGAAACCATGTGTTGAAGCAGGGCTGGAACTAAACTCTGGGCTGTAACCCTCCAGGAAATTAATGTTGACACCCCTGCTTTAAGCAGATGTAATAATGTGAGGTCATGCAGGAGAGACGCTGGTGCTCCGGCTGACGGATGATACTGTAGTTTCTTCTTCTTCTTCTTCAGCTTCAGCAGCCCACGGGTTTCTGCCGCATAGAAGGAAAGGCAGCGCTCGATCCCTGAACTGACACACACACAAATAGCACAGAGATGACGTTGTATAACTCTCTGAAGCTGACCCTTTCAGGCTTTGATCCTAATTGTGGTGTTTTGGTGACTGTCGCTTTAAATGCAAATGAGATTGAGCTCTTTTCAGAAGAGGGCGGAGCTACAGATGCCCGTGTGTCAGCATAGTGGCAGATGTAAAACGTAAAATGTAAAAGGTCTGCATGTTGTCGTTGGTCAGTGTGTGCTTCCTGCTTCTTTGTAAGTGTGTGTGTGTGTGTGTGTGTGTGCGGACTCACCTGTCTGTTCATGAAGATGTAGATGATGGGGTTGAAGACGGTGCTGCTCTTGGTCAGGTACATGGGCACGGTGGCGATCACGGGGTCGATGTACAGCTCTGGGATCAGGATCACACACAGGGCGAAGGAGGCGTACGGCAGCCAGGTCAGGAGGAAGGCCAAGATCATCACCACCACCATACAGGACACCTGCGCCTCTGCCCGCGCCGCGCTGCCACCCTCACACACCTGCAGACGACTCACCTGCAGGACGCAAAGAGAGACACACATCCACAGACATGGAAACAGACGCACACGCCAAAATCAGTCAGTACCAACACACAGCTATCATTAGCATGTTGAATAGTCGTTAATGGCACCTGCCGCAGGGTCCAGAGCAGGCGAGTGTATGAGTAGACGATGACGGAGAAGGGCAGGGCGAAGCACAGCAGGAAGTAGCAGACGATGAAGGAGACGTTGGCCAGATCTCTGCTGTACCAGTCTGGAGCGCAGGACGTCCGGACGCCCTCCAGCTCGAACCGACCCCATCCGAACAGCGGCGGAGTGTTCCAGATGAACGACCACAGCCAGGACACCGCCACCCCAAACACAGCGTGCCTCGTCTGGAAGCTGATGGAGCCCACGGGCCTGCAGACCACCATGCAGCGCTCCAATGCAATGACGGCCACCGAACACAGAGCCGCGATTCCTGCAGGACACAGAAAGACTTGTGAACTGAATGGGCAAGTTTTATCCAAGAGAAAAAAGGGCATCTGCACTCGCTATCTTTGCACGTGCCTACTCTGTACTATGCACCGGCTTTCGGGTTTCGTCAGCGTCAACGCTTCCTATTCACTTTGAATAGCTGACGT